CAGGTTTGTAGCCAGGGTTGAAATATGTAATCGAGTTCTTGTCTGCAGTTGGTAAATAAGGTAATTAATAAAAATAGGATAATGAAAGGACAAGCTAAAGACTTGCTTAAAGACCAAAAAAAGGAGACTAAAAGACTAGTTAAAAACTCAAAACCATTTATAAACACAAAGAGCCAGGAGCTTTGGTTGTGGTTTAAGCCCAGCTGATAATTCAGAACCTTGCAGCGACTCACTCAGTCCCCCTGCTTTTCAGCCATCCTGCTCCCAGAGGGATGAAGAGGAGAATCAAAAGACTGTAAACCCTTTAGTTGGAATAAGGACACATGGATGGAAGCTGGGAATGCCCTTCTGTTCGGTGTCTCGGCCTAATAAAAACATGGCACATGTCGCATTACCCAGTGTTAACAGGACTGGTTGATATTTAATTTCCTTCAGAGTCTCTTCACATAGTATGACTAATAGGTTTTCTATATTCATGATCCTTTTTAATGTACTTTCTTTAAGATTGTTTTTTTCTTGCTGGTTTGGATGTAAAAAGTTTATGGAGAGCTGTTTATCCAGGCATGTCTTGTTATTAAGTCTCTTTATTAACATGTGCGATGCAACACAGATGTGCTGATATAAGTATTAAAAGTATGCCAATTCACACAGCATTGTCATGACTAAATGTCTGCAAACCAACATCTGCAATAAATATTATAAATTCATTTTTAGATTAATGCATTCTAAGAAAGAAGAAGCAGTCAACTGAATTAAGGTGAAAATTCATTTTTGAAGTAATTCTTTGAAATTCAGAACTTGCAGTAATGCTTTTTACAGTCTAGAAAAAGCATTGCAAGGCAGCTCAGTAGAATTGGAAGGAGGGGTAGGAGGGGAAGGGTATGACTCTGTTGCCACTATTTGCTAGCTGAAAGTAATTTTCTTACTAGATGAAATAAATTCTGAAGCCTAAGTAAAGCATCATTAGCTGTGGAGTATGCTGTATTCATGGATATACCTGGTCTCTATTTTCAATGTGTAGATAAATCAATCAGTGGCTAATATTTATAAAGTTCTAAGATATTTACCAGTTTGTAAATACAATTAAACTTGTTCTAAATGCCCTCTTACATGTGACAAAATGAGTGGCTATACTAAGGGAGTTTCTTGTACAAAATATTTTTAGATCACTTGGAGCAGTGCTTTAGACTAACATTCCCACTTCTTCTGCTGTGGGGGAGTATCTTCTGTAACTTGTTTTGCTGAGATATTCATGAAGGTTGGGAACCACCTTCCCAGCCTTCCGAGCAGCTCAAATGGCTGCCTTAGTTAGAATACAAAAAGGAATTTTAAGGAAGAACCGAGAGTAATGGAGGAGAACTGAACACCATAATCATGAGAAAGAATAAGGAAGGGCTGCTCTTCTATTTATTTATGATCAAGAAAAATTCTGTCAAGATGCAGCTGTTACAGTATGTCTGTAACTGTATGCAAAAGTTAGCACACAAAGGGGAAGTGCTGCTGTGGATAAATTAGAAACATTTTTCATTATTCTACTATCAGTAGAAGCAAAAGTGTTAGTACAATAAGTTACCTCAGGATCTCTGTATTTCCATGAATAATACAGAAAATACAATTGAAAGTATTAATCCAATACTGAGTTCTTTAAACTGAGAGTTTTGTGCTTCTATAGAATACATATAAATAACTGATTTAGAAAAAGGTGTTCAGATTTAAAAAAAAAATAAATCCACCTTTTCCTATACATCTATGAAAATGAAGTGTTACATAGTCACAGTTTGTAACAGAATAAAAATTTGGTTTTTTTCTACACAAGCTTCATATTTGGGACAAATATTTGTCATTTTTAGTTCTGTACTTAATTCGGAGGGAGAGGTAATTATTTGTTATAAGTAAGTCACACACACACAAAAGCAGCTGAATATTCTTACTGCTTAATATTTTTTTCTCAATTAAGTCCAATTTAAAATCCTGTCTATTTTTAAGCTACTGTCTACAAATGCTACATAGCCCTCTTTTTATGGTTCTGAGGTCAGCACAATACTGATTCACATAGTAGTCACTGTGCCTGATGTTGATAATGAGTAAACAATGTCCACAGTAATAAATGTTTGCAGGGAAAAGACTTACGTTATAAATTGGTTTGGATTTGCAGCGCAAAATCCATAAGAATATATAAGGTCAGTGAAACTTTTTTTTTTGTTGTTAGCAAAGAATTCTTATCATTATCAGGAGACCCTAGAGTCCAGAAACACAAGGCTGCAGTAGGAGAGAAGGAATTAAATTTCGTCATTGCATACCTGACTGTAAGCTCTACCAGTAAAGGCTCACCAAGAAAACTGAGAGACAGTGATGCTTCCTATGCTTCCTCTGTTAGCATTACAGTTCATCATGTAAAAGATATTCATGTATAAGTGCACTGTCCATCTTACCCAACCAGCTACTGATTTATGTCTGCCTTAACAATAGTATTGTCAAGATGTTCTATTTGTATAGCTCAGATTTCCTATACTGCCAAGCATAACATATAAGACATGGGGAGAATTTCTCCACCTGGAGCATGTATGCTCTGTATGAAGTTCAAATCTCAATATAAATCTGTGGCAAGCTTTGTGGACTTTCAGAGATTAATATGGCTCTGTCTTCTAAGTTTTTGTAATTAGCAAAAGGTAAGGCTAGCTGTGTGCATAGCTTCTTGACTGATATCGGCACAGTCTTTCAAACCATTTCCATGACAGACACTTGGTAAACCTGAAAATCTGTGCTTCATGGAAGACTGAGATCTGCAGAGACACTGGAAAAATCAGTTCTGAAATTAAAAAGCAAATCCTGATTCCCAGATAAAGAGGCGTTGGTAACCTGGACCAATAAAATATTGCAAACAAGATAGTTGTGTTGTCCTTTGTTTTGTAACAGGTCCTCAGAGGATTCCAATATTCCTCAGAAACAATATGAATTTTCTTGGATAGCTGTAACATTAAGCCTGTCATGATTAGTGGCTCATGAATATTGGTCAAGACTTTGCTTTTAATTCATCACCAGAGCTTGCTGAGCACTGAGAAGCATACCAGCTTTTGGAAGTGCCTGTAAATGCCTGCTGTGATTTAGCCATTAGACAATTGGCATAGTTATTATTTTTTCTGGCAACATGACTGGTTTTGATGTTTTTTATCATCCAGTTTGGAACACACTGATTAGCTAATGTCCTCTGAGAAAAATATTTCTGCCTTACATTCTTAAAAAATGGTTGCCCCATACCCTAGGTAATCAAGATCTTCTTGCTTTCGGTATGGAAACAGCTTGATTTTGTTACTTTTTTGAAGCAACTTTCAGCTGCTGTATTGCACATCCAAAGTGTCTTTACTGAGCACTTCTGGTATGTTTTAGAATGAGGTATTCTCAGGTGTTGGTAGTTAATGGACCACATAGAAGTTTTGACTGTAGCTCAGCTGGGAGACAGTGAGTTAAATTCTAATTCCAGAGAAACATAGAATTGGTGGGAGCTGAGGTCTGCTGTCTCTCCAACAGCTCCCACAGTCATATGGGAGCTGTTTCACTCTTCGCAATGTCAAAAGGAAAGGCGGAGAGCAGGCAAGAGGGAAAGATTTTCTAGCCTAGTTTTGTCTGCTTTGATTTCTGAAGCCTGACCTACAATTCTTTAATTGCTGGAAGTACAGGAAGTGTGAAAAGAAGATCTTGAGTGCTACAAGCCAAAATATCATATTGTAAGGCAGATGTAAAATACTTTTTGCAGGTGGGAGATGTGGGTTCAGGTTCTCTCCAACAAGGAAGATTTAACTTAAGCCATCAGATCCTAGCTGGCTTTTCAACTGAGGAGTGTCCTATTTGACCAGTTAAGGTGAAGCAATCAAATTGGTGCCTCCTCTGGTGTTTTCTTTCTTTTCCTTTTTTGCATGGTATATCTTTATTATTCAATGAAATATTTGTTTGCTTGTTTGTTTCTTCTTTCCACAAATAGTTTAAATAAATAAATTGTGAGAGGAATAAACCCCAAGTTATTATTAATTTTTTTGAGCTTGTCAGCTTTTATGTGCACCACTCTTTTTATTGGCTGGCAATTACACTTGTGGTGATGTCGAAATAAGAGCAATTGGATGGGACAAATAAATCCTTTTCACCAACATATAGCTTTCATATATCAAAAACTTCACAGAATAATAGCAGGCCTAACAAATTATCAGGAGAAAGAATTATGGTTTACAAAAGACTTAGAATCTTTTCCTTATGTTTTTTTCCATCAAATCTGAAGTTAGTGAAGAAGGCTTGATAGGGGTCTGTAATTGCTTCATTTTTTGTAAATGATTCCAGCTTTGAGAAAAAATGTTTTGTCACTCTCTAGTGTTCCCTCCTTCTGCTGCCATTACCCACTTCAAGGGTTTTACTTTCTCAGACAAAGTGCCCAGAAGTCAAGGGATTTAAGCAGGGCTGCTTAGTTCTCCTTGTAGGTTAGTGTCAATTGCAAGTCTGGGAAACATCTCTTTCTGTTGCTAGTCTCTGTAATGGTTACATTCAAAAGGGCTTTTGTCATCATGTAACCAACTTCATATCAGACAGACATGCTTCAAAACAGGTACCAGGACTGGGCATGCTGGTTTGCAGTGACAAGCAAATAAGCAGAATAATATCTTTATTTATTTCTGTTTTCTGCCTTTCCATTTTATGATTGTTTTAGTCAAAATATATGTGTATCTTACCTTTGATAGGATACTGCTGTGTAAAGTATCACCTTGTTAACAATTTATATCTTTGTGACTCACAGTGAAAACCTTGTTATTTATCAGAAGAAATGAAGCATTATGAAAGAACTGAAAAATATGGTGTTACTTTGGGTGTCTCCATAATTCAGAATTTTTCTTGCAGCGCTTTTAAAAATTTCTGTGACTTTAAAGGCTTGAAAGCAATATTCTTATGTGTCTTTCTGTTACTTCAGTTTATACATACAACAGTGAGTATATATTTGTTGGCTTATTTCTTCATAGGTATTTCATTGATCGTAACACAGAAGAAGATAGGTATTTCACCATTGATGCTAATACTGGGACCATTAAGACTGCCAAGATCTTTGACAGAGAGGAGACACCTTGGTACAACATCACAGTGGCTGCTTCTGAGATAGGTAAATAATATATTTGGCACATAGTATTAAAAAAAAACAAAATACAATACAAAACAAAACCCCAAACAGAAAAAAAGAAGAAGAATTTTCAGATTTTAAAAAACACTATCTTGAGATGTTATGTTTTTTTAAATATCGTTGTGTTCTGATTGGGGTTTTAGCCATTTTGGATAAAAGAGAGTTTTCTCTGTGTGTAGAAATTTCTTAATTCTACAGAACAAGTAAACAAACCTCCATGTGCCTGTGTAATTCCATCTGTGTAAATTTACTATGTTTTTCTGTATGAGATAGAAGGTTGACACTTTACCCAGGAACAGTTCCAAGCATTCAGTGTCCTAAAATCAACAGCTTGTGACTTTGTGTTTCATATTCCATATACCTTAGAAGAAAAGACTGTATAGTGTTGTCTGAGAGATCCAACCTTCCTTCTTGGATCTGCTGTTAACCTATTTCAGCAAATTGGCATGTTAGCTATGTCAATATTAAGTTATATCTGACAGGTGCCTAGTAGTTGCTGATTATCAGGGTGTACCCCTCGCCTTTTAATAGGCAGTTCGACAAGTAAAGATACAATAAATACTTGCTTGTGCATTTGAAAGGCCTCAAAGTGATGAAATTCCATTGCCTCAGATAAGCCCTGCAACAGTCAAGAAATGTCTGACTGAGTAGTCCCAGATAAATGTTTCTACATGAGGCAAAAACAGTTTAAAGAACATTTCAGTTCACCTTTTTATTACAGGGTTTTTATTTTGACACAGCCAAAGCTGTGAAGTTAAAAAATTCAACAATCCAAATGCAAGAGTCCCAACCTGGATCAAAAGATCCAGTCCAGCTAAGTATTCTTCATGATACTGTCTTCCAGTGGAAGAGATTTTGATTAAAACTGTGAACTACTTTAAGTATATCCCTTTCCTTTTTCCTTTCTTCCTTTTTCTTTTTTTTTTTTTTTTTTTCTCTGTGTAGTCTGTCACTGCCAAATGACACAATACAGGTTTTACCTGTAACGGCTGCTGCTGATGTTCCTGAGCCCTCTTTGCTTTGATCTGTTTCATCTCCAGGTTAAAAGGGAAGCTGTTCTGCCACTACTTTGCTAGTACACGTTGCAGAATTAACAGCACACACATATTTAATCAGGACAGCTTTTTTTTTTATTATTGTACCTGCTTTCACTATTAAATTGACATTTTAAATGAAGTAAATTTCTATTGTAAATAGTAAAAACTAGAGTTTTATGTTTAGCCCTTTAAAAAATGTCTCCACTGGCAGTGTCTTTGTATATAATGTGTATTATTTCAGTGCATCATGAAATAAAAGATAATTTAAGCTTAATCATAAGCAGGTGCATAGTAAGTGTTAATTTCAAATACAATTTAACAACCACATTGAAACATACTGAAAAAAGGAGTAGTTGCTAGTCTTTTAGGGAAGCCATCCAGATGTAAATTTTTTCAGAAATAAATCCTAATAGTATTACATTTAAATGTAGCTTTCTACACATTATTTATTTCACATGGTCAAAGGAGTGCTAGAACGTGTACTATGCTGAGAGAATAACATGGATAATGGAGAAAGATTGTGAAGGATTATGTTTATAACTAAAAGAAACTAGAATTGTTAAGGAAGATGGAGTACCTTTTTTTTTTTTTTTAAACAGCCTGCTTAGAATTCTTCATTCCAGGTGCAACTTATTACAGGAAAACAGAGATAATTTTTTTTCCTCCCCTGCATTTCTTAAAGTTGGCGTTGGAAAGGTAACGTACATTTACAGTGTTAGTTTGAAAAACACATTGGTTATGAATAATGGCAGAGACAGCGTTGAAGATGCTGCAGGTAGGTGGATGGCAGGCAGCCTTTCCTTGTGTCTGCTACTTTGGCCATTTTCTTACCTGCAATAATTTGAAAGTTACAACACTGCTGTACTCTTCCAAATACATTGTGAAATCTGTAATTGGATCTGTGATGGAAGAAGGAGCATATGGAATCTGTGATGGAAGAAAGAGCGTATGTTGTGTATACAACATCAAGGCCCAAACTCTTAAGTGCTGTCTAGCCCATACCTCCAGCCTTTAATGATGTGCACTTTGAAGTCCACAAGTAATTACAAAACTAAAGACTAGTTTTAGTTAAGAATAAAGCTAAAAATTAGGTTGAAGGCTATTTTAACAGATATTACCAAGTTTTTACTAAAATGTTAGTCACCTGTGAGAGTGGCAGAATTCATCTGACATGGTAAGAAGGCATTTGTAGCTTCTGTCACCATTTGCTTAGCCAGGAACTTAGCAGAATCTGCTTTGTACTGCTTAAACAGTAAGATGTGTTCAACTGTAATAATGTTATGGTTATAGTTAGTTTATTGAAGTGTTTTCCTGTCTTAAATTTACACTACACTGGCAGGATTCAGTTTCTACTGATCATCCTTTGGACAGGTATTTGGACCTGTGCTTGTTTTATGCAAAAGAAATTTAGAGTCAATATCATATTTCTGCCCTAAAATGTATGATTTCCTCATGTTTCATCTTTATTATTTCTGAACTTTTCATAAAACATTTACTTTCACCTTTATGCTTTGTATGCTATACACTCTGCATTGATCAGATTTCTCCTCTGAAATCAGAGGGAGTTCTACCACTTTTCTCTGTGGGAGTAATGATGTAGTGATCAGTGGGTTTTTTCTGTTTATGCAGCTACTTGTAAAGCATACCAGAATTCATTGGCATGGGAATGGGTGGGAGAACCCTTTTTCTTTTTAACATGTGTTGTTCTTTAACAGTAGCATACAGTGAGGAAGAGTGGGATTTTGATGTCCAGAACACATCACTAGAGCTATTGCTTTGATTGTTTCAGTACTGGTACTTCCTGAAAACTCCTTCTGGTATTAGGGAATAAGAAAAATGATAAAATACTGTATTTTATATTGAAGGATCTACGGACTATATTTAGGGCAGGAAGAAAAAATTCAGAATTAATGGTAGTAGGATTTTAAAATATGGTTTCACATAGAATTAATCACATTTCAATCACTTACTATAATTCTGTGGAAAAAGTTTTGTGAAAGAGGAAGGAGATTGATACAATTTGCTTGGCTCTTTTAAAGACTTCTGACCAAGTCTTTAAGAAGAGCAATGGAAACAGGAAAATACAGAGCAAGTGCACAAAGTTTTGTAACAGATGAGAAGCTGAGGAAAGAAATGGAGTCATAGTGAATGGTTGTTCCTTTGGGAGTGGAAGAGGTTAGTGTTGAACTGTTTAAAGGACTGGTGTAGGATCTGTCAATTCAAATTCTTTGTAATGATAGCACACAATGAGAGGAAGTGATTCAGATTCCTAAATAACCTCCCTGGCTGCTAAGAACTAAGGAAGATCGAGAGAAACATGTAATAACAAGACACATGAAAGTATGGGCTAGATAAATGAATGGAAAAGTGAATACTGTTTGAAATGTCAGGCTCCAAGGGCTGTGATCAGCAGGACGAAGTGCAGATGGAGGCTCATCACTACTGGTGTATCACGAGGGCTTGATACTGGATACAGTAATATTTAATCTTTTCATTAATTACCTGGTTGATGAGACAGTGCACTCTCAGCCAGATGGAAAACGATACACAGCTGGAGTTATGGCTGATATGCCAGAGGGTCATGCTGCCATCCCAAGGGGTCTCAACCAGCTGGAGAAATGGTTGAAGAGGAACCTTGTGAAGTTCAGTAATAGAAAATTCAGAGTCCAGCACCTGGAGACAAATAAACCCATACACTAGTACACATGCATCAGCCAATTGGCCAGAGAGCAGCTTTTCAAAAAGGGATGTGGAGGTACTGGTGGATGCCAGCTGGACATGAGCCAGCAATGGCTTGTGGCAAAGGCGGCCAATTGCATCCTGCAGTTGTGTGTCAGGAAGAGTGTTGCCAGCAGGTTGAGAGAGGTGATCCTTCCCCTCTATATAACACTGGTGAGGCCACATGTGGAATTCTGGGTCCAGGTTAGGAATCTCCAGTAAAAGAGAAACATGGAGCAACTGTCACTGGACATGGAGTCAGTGAAGGGGCACGAAATCATTAAGAACTGGAGTATCTGTCATACAAGGAGAGGCTGAAGGAGCTAGGACTGTTCAGCCTGGAAATGAGAAGGCTCAGAAGGAGAGTAAAGAAGATTAAAGATGAGCAAAGATGAACAAAAGCTCATCTGAGTAGTATCTATTGAAATGACAGGAGGAAATATGCTCAAATTGAAAAACAGAAAATTTAATTTAAACATTAGAAGAAAAATGGTTTTACTGTGGGATTGGTCAAAAATTGGCACAGATCACCTATAGAGGTTGTGAAGTCTCTGTTCTTGAAGATACTCAAAACCCAGCCGGACATGGCCCAGAGCAATTTACCAGTTGGGCTAGTTGACCCAGCTTTGAGCAGGACATTTGAACTTGCTGATCTATGGAGGTGCCTTGTAACCTCAACAGTTCTGTGATTTTGTGGTACTGGGAACTGTGTGTTGAATGTGGGGAAAAATAGCAATGTATACTCAAAGAAAATAGGTAGTTGTAAAAATAATTGTGGGTGATGTAATAAAGGTTTCTCTCTAGCATATAGTGGTACTGATAACAAAAGCAAAAGCAACAATAACAGCAAAACCCTCAATCATAGCCTCTGCAAGAAAAAAATGGCACTAAAATATAAATGGGTGGACTTCTGCCAGTTCAAAAGCCAATTTCCGTTAGTAAAATACATATAGGCTTCAAAGTTTTCAAAGCAGTACTGCAAACAGAACAAATAATAGTATCCTTGAAGTCTTTGTCCTCAATAAGAAGGCATAAAAGCTGCAGGGAGTAAAACACTGATGATTGAAGGAATTAGGGAATGTCTTGGCTTGGGAATGAGAGGATCTTAGCTTTCAGTAGTCATTTCTACTTAGAAATAGAGTAAGGAAGGCTGTATCAGAAAAGTCCTTTTAGATATTAATTCTAACAACTGAACTGTGTTAAATATCTTCTCAGTAGACAGGAAACCAGCTTCTAGGTAAAGCTTTCAGATGATGTTAACATCAAGAGATTACTGGATCCAGAAAGTACTGGACATGAAGATGGCTAATAAGAATATCTGTGGTTGTAATAATACGTGATTTTTTGAAAACAAATGCTTATATTTCAGAGATTTTAAAGATACTTTCTATTGGGAGCTTTTCACATATTTCTCTTACACAGCTGGTAAGTATACCAGTGTGTAAAATGGATTTATTTGCTAGATCATTGATCATTTTAGGATAAAATTGTGGTGGAGCTGAGTGTCTTCAAAATGCTCTACAATGGCTGAGAACAAAAAAGCAGACAATTTCCAAATACTCCACTAAAGAACCAACTTGAATGCAAGGAATGCACAAACTTACCTTTGAAGGGTTCATAAAGTGTTCTAAATCTGTAAAGCTTGTAAAGGCAGTGAAGAGCAGGAAAACTGAAATAACATGTTTTCTGCCATGTTCTGTCAGATCGCCACTGACTTAAAGAAATGCTAGCAAGAGACAGTAAGAAATGACCACATGAAAGAATATTGCACATACAGAGCTTTGATACCACAGTGTATTAGGAATCAAAATACTTGAGACATCATTATGCATTTGATTTTGTAGATGAAAATCTCCAAGGCTATCAGATACAATCACATAAGGGGGCTGGGAAGGAACGAAAACCAAAACAAAACAAAAACCTCAAATATATTTGCCTTTGTTTATGTCTTCTATATGTGCTTCACCATGTGTATGCTTCATACTAGCTTCAGAGAGTAAGACACTGAAGAGTTGAGTTAGAGCAGTACCTCGCTGATGAAATACAAAGTACCCTGTTATGGGGTATTGAAAGGATTCCAGGAAAACACAATTATTACCAAAAATACACAACAAAAAATAACTTTCAGAGATATTTTCATAGAAGGCAAATAAACCCTGTTCAGAATTAAAATACGTGAAAAGGCAGGACATCTCACGATAATAAGAGCTCGCAACAGTTAGTTTACTAACTGTAAAGAAAGTGTAAAAACATTCAGGTGCATGTCCAAATTATAACATAAGGATCTTTTTCGTTAATAAGTTTCAATAGAAACAGAAAGATATAAACAATTCAGAGGAAAAGAAAATTCATAGACAGAAATAATAATTTGCAGCAGCGACATATAAAACTCCTTGAGATTTTGAATAAATACTGAAAGCCCTAGAATTACATTAAAGAGATAAAGTATATAATTACAGTAAGGTGCAGTTATATCTTTTCTTTAGGTGCATACGTATGTTGCCACCTCATATTACCATCAGGGAACAGCAAGTTATGAAAAGAATTTGCAAGTTCTTTTCCATGTTTTATGGTTGCAGACTTCCGGTACCTAAATAGGGCCTACAAGAAAGTCCCTCTGGACAGGGACTTTTGACAAGGGCATGCAGTGACAGGGTAAGGGGAAATGGCTTTGAACTAAAATAGGGTAGATTTAGATTAGATATTAGGAGGAAATTCTTTACTGTGAGAGTGGTGAGGCACTGGAACCTTCCCACCAAGGAACCACTTGCCCAGAGAAGTCATGGCTGTCCCATCCCTGGGAAACTGTTTAAGGCCAGGTTGTATGGGGCTTTGAGCAACCTTGTCTTGTGAAACCTCCCGTGGCAGGGATCTGGGACTAGATGATCTTTAAGATCCCTTCCAACACAAACTATTCTGTGACTGTATGGTTATTGTACTGATTAAGGTCAGTATTTAATGTTGATGATACAAAAGCATAGACATTCTTTCTAATCCTGTGCTAGGTGGGTTAAATTGTTCACTCAGTCTTCATAATATCTGGTTAACTATAGCAGTCTAACAAAAAAAAAAAAAAAAAAGAAGGGGGGCAAAACTATAAAAGCACAAAAGACTTTTAATGTCAGAACTGTTATTCTGAATGTCATTCAGGTAGAATTTATTTAGATAAAGCCCTTTTGAATTTTGATAATATGAAAGGAAGTCTCAGACAGCAGTAGCTGTATTAAAAAGTTTTCTTAAATTGGGTTTTTTCTTAAATTGGGGTTTTAAAGTTTGCCCACAGAAATTAATGGAAAAAAAGTTTCAAGACTTGAGACTGTTGGTAGGGACTTCTGTAAGTTCCCCGAGGACTTTCTGGTGGAGAGGCTAATACTCAATGGAGTTGACTCACTCACAGATATTTAGTATCCTGGCAAATAACTATTTGTTTGGGAAAGTCTCAAGCATAAAAAAGCAACTCCCTAGCGTAGGTGAATAGCAGCGAAGTTTCTGCTTCAGTTACCCCTTAAAACAGTGAGCATTTACTTTGAAAAACCTACTCCTGAGACATAATGCTACTAAGACACAGAATAGATCTGACTGTTTTATAGTGCACAGGCCTGAAATATATATCAGCACCCATTATCTTAAAATTGGAAATTTGCCAAACTGCTGCAAGAAATTTGTCAAATAAACAAAAATACACTGCTAAAAGGACAAGTTTTTAGAGTGGTTTGGAGACCTCAGATGAGTAGTACACCTGAAAAAGTTTGGAGAAAATTGGAAAAATTGAAAAATTTCAGTAAGAAAATGTAATTTGCAAGTCTATAAATGTCTTCTGATTGTGGTGTTCTAACCTAATGCTAATGTTAATTGGGAATAGAGTTTCATATATTATCTAAGTTAAGTCTTCATTTTCTGTTGACTTTTTTTGATCTCCTTTCAATTCCCATTTTATGTGGTTAATTGACTAAGTTCAAAAAGTGAACTAAAGCCATCAGGCGAACATAGACATTAGTTAAAAAGAGAACATGAAAAATCTGAAGTGAACTTCTAAACCCCAGGCTCTTTGACTAGTATTGCAGGTGAAAACAGAGAAGGATAATGTCAAAAGAAACTTTAACATTCTCAAATATTCTTTCATTGAGAGGCTACCTTACTGATGGCTTTGAAGACAAATATGTGTCTAATTAACGTTTTTCAGAATTCTGAGGCCATTAAAGGTGTGACAAATTTAAGACATTTTACAAATGACCCTTTTTGTCAGAAGCATGATGTAGATTAATTAAGATCAAAATAACCAAGGCAAATGAGCTTTAGACTACTAATATAGTCTAATATAGAAATACTAGTATTTCTTTTTTTTTCTTTTTCTTTCTTCCCATGAGTACACACAGGGACATGCACTTTTAAAATGTCCATCTCTAAGACCCCGTTCTTCCATCTCGTTGAATTTCAGAGATGACTTTATTGTTTTGTACTGATAGTTTAATTTAATTGGTGAAAGTAAAATCAAGTTTGACATCTAACCAATTCATATTTACACAGAATTCAGAAGGCAGATTTTATTTAATTATAAAAAAGTTTTAATATAATTCTTTTAACAAAATAAAATTTTCCTGGTAATTAGTAGTAAGAACTAATTTTTTTTTAGTAAGAACTAATTTTAGTAAGATCTAATTTAGTAAGAACTAATTTAGTAAGAACTAATTTTAGTAAGAACTATTTTTTTTTTCCCCATTTTATCATGGAAAATGTATTCCTGTTGAACGGGTTCTATTTATTGAAATTTTTGAGGGTGAACTCAAAATTTTGAGTGTTAACTCTCACAGAAGTACACATCATAGCCTAAGGCACTGTTGCTTAAATATAGGTTTCTTACTGGTGTGTCACTGCTAAAGCAAGAATCTTTAACTATGCTGTGTAATAGCATAGAACCTTGTGAGGAAGGTGAACTCAAGCTTGGTAAAGGCTTCTATGTGCCTTTGCATTCATATTATCTTGTTATTTTTGTATTTTAAGGGACTGAGAAAAAGAAGAAGGTTTTAATATTTTTTTATTAGGTTTTACTCAATACTGCAATGGCACTTTCACATTTATTATAAAGTAATTGATCATTTCATAGCATACAGCGTGAAGGTATGTGATTACTCCAACAGCTTTCTGCCACCAGTTCTAGAGTAACTTGCATTTTTATTGTTACAGTATAACAGTGACTTAAGACTCATAACATACTTTTCACTTTTTTTAAAAATTATATTTCAAAACTGTTAATGAAACACAGCAGACAACTTTTAGTATCTTGCTACATGAAAGTCTGCAGGTTTATACAGTTCTCATCTAGTTATTGTTTAGATATATTTTAAATTGAGCATGTCATGGAATGTTTAATATTTCAAAAGGCTTAATACCCCCTTATGTATTTTACAGACAATCCTGAGCTAGTCAGCCATGTTCAAGTTGGTGTTAGGATCCTGGACATCAATGACAACCCTCCAGAGCTTGCCAGAGAGTATGATGCAGTTGTCTGTGAGAATGCAAAGCCTGGTCAGGTAACTCTTACAGTTATCTTTCTCCGAGTGAGAAGGAAGAATTATTTTATTTTTTAATATCATTTATGTAAGAAGTTTGATTTGGGGAACACATCATAACTCTTTCTGATTTCATTTTTGTTTTACATTTGATTCAGCTGTTATAACAGTATTAGGTTGAAGGGAGAAGATCTGGGAATTTATTCAATGTATCTTTCTTGTTGCTGAAAAAAATTACCAAAAATATCTTTGGTAAATATCTAAAAGTAAAGCTTCAATCTTGTCAGATAAGTAACGGAATTTGACAAATCATTATCCTGAACAAAATGGATGAAGCAGATTTAATATCTTTTATCTAAGTGCCATATGGTAGCATACAGCTCACTGAAGTGGCTGGTTAACATGGCTGCCATTTTCATTTTTGCATGTTGATTGACTTGAGCTTGCAGGATCATTATGGGAAAGATGTTGAAGGGGCTTTTCACAAATGTGAGCATGGGGAGGGGCAGAACTGAGACTGGAAATGTGATAGCTGAATCACATTCCAGTCGCTGCTGCTGTGATTGATGCACTTCATTGCAGCTCATGGTTTGACAATTTTTTTAAGTGCCTTTGGTTTTTTGCATAGATTGAGCTTTTACCTAGCACTCTATGCTGATTTTGTCTTTATACAGGTTTTAATTTGCAGTTGTGAACTCGTATATTTCCTGAGTGGTTTCTGTGGTTATGAAAACCATAAACCTTTAATAACTATCTTATATTAATCTAGATTTTCCTACAACAAACAAAAACATTTGATAGCTGCTACTTCATGCAGCAAGGAATTTTAGTTTAATTGCATGTTTCAGGAAGACCTATCTCCTTCTTCATTGTTTTTCTTTTTTTTTTCTTTTTTTATTTTAATCTTCCCATGCTGTCTTCAATCAGTATTTACCAGTTATTGTGTTGGGAGAGCAAAAGAGAGAGAGGGAGTAGCTGATCCCTATTTATTATCTCTGTGCTATTCATAAATCTTTAGCGCATTGCCCCTCAGCCATCTCTTGTCCAGACTGAAGAGTCCTACTTGGACAAGCTATGATAAAGTCCTTCTATGCTTTTGATCATTCATCTTGTCATCCATTAAACTTCCTCCAGTTCCTCTCTATTCACCTTGAGATGAGGAAACAAGATTCACAATGCAGTGGTCTATAATTCTTATCATAGTTTCTGATTCATAGTATATGATCTCTGCTTTGTTCTCTTCCTTTGCTAGCAATTTCTAACAGTTTTCTTTTTAACCACTAGTAAGCACTGAATGCAAAAAACTGTCTGCCATAACACCATTATCATTGGAAGTAATGGTCAACTTAGAGTTCATCATCATGTATGTGAAGTTAAGACTTTATGTCAATGTATAAAGAATTTCACCTGTCCTTGTATTGCCTGGCTACCCAGTATTGGAGGTCTTTAGTGTCAGCCCTTCCTTTTTTCCTCTTTGAACAACTCAGTATCATAAATAGGCGGGCTGATTATTCATACTCTTTATAAAATGGTCAGTGTAATAATGAGCAAATGGCACAGCATAAACCTGTTTGGAACAGGAAATCCCTGTGACTTCCTCTCTTTGTGGAATAGACATTTTACAGAAGAGACACTATTTCCTGTCTTTTGAGCAATTACTTGTGCAAGGGCCTTCCCTCTTATCATATAGTTTTCTTAAGTGCTCTTATTGAGACACCTCACTCAAAGCCTTTGAAAATCCAAGTAGGTCTATCGACTGAATATCTCTTATTAGCATGCTTATTAAAGTAAAAATAATGTTCTGAAAACATTAATTAAAGCCTTAATAGAAGAATTAGAACTTGTAAAAAACTATTTTTTAAAAAAATAAGGTGACATTTCTTAGCATAAGTTGCAACTGCTTTCAACATATCCTGATATTTTTAAAATTTATATAATTTAACATAATTGTTATAATTAATAATAAACTAAAGCATGCAGCAAAGCTAGCTCAGAAATGCACTGTTAGCTGGGTGGGGGTGGTGTTGGTAGTGAGTAGCTGATGTTTCTTATCAGCAGAGTCTTAACTCTCCAGTACTAGCTTCGCAAATAGAAATTTACAAGAGATGTTTAAAGGATAAAATAAGCTTTCCAGTAACATCATTTGCTCCTGATTTCAGTCAGCATCCTATTTCTCTCAGAGCTACCATTGCAAGCATGAGTGACTCCTGATCTCTGCAGCATCGCAGTTAACACCCAAGATTATTGCTACCATGAAGTATTCTACAAGCAGAAGTACAAACAGTAGACTCTTAAAGTAGCTGGATCAGCATGCTATTGTATTCTTTAACAGGCCTCGATCACATATATGACATGCACTAATTTTTATATGCATTGCATGGCAAGGCTTCAGAAAACATTGTGAAATCATTCCACTGTACAAAAAACAAAACAAAAACAAAATACAAAAGTACACATCTCTTACTCATAATATTGTGCTGTCTAGTTTAATAAAGAAAATGACAGTGTTCAACAAATATTAGGGAAGGACAAATAAACAAGGATTACAGAACAAGACAAGTGTTCCATATGCCAAAAAGCATGCCCAGCTGGATGGTTTTGGATCACTAAAAAGGTAGTATTTACTCTGAGTATTCATCATCTTGTGAGAAAGATTCATAAGATTTAGCACTAAAGAACAAATTCTGTCAGGTACTGCCAGGCATTTCTGTTTGACTAGTGCTTTTGAGGTAGAGCTCCAGCCCTGCACTGCCCTGGAAGAGCCCGGTTTCTTTCCTCAGCAGGTCCATTCTGACTGTGTTATGTGCAAGATAAACTAACTAGTAGTTTGTCGCTGGAAGACTTTTTGAGTTTGCTTGTTTGTGTTCAAGAGGCTTCTATGTAGAGAAATCACAGTATCATTTAATTGCACAGCCTCTTGTCTCTTGCTTCCTTTCCCTCCACAGCTCATTATAGTTCCTTCAAAAATAAAAAAAAAAGCCAATAAAACTTAAGGACTTAAGTGCTTAAATGAATCCCCCTAAAGCATAGCAAACAGAAAAAGCCTGTGGGAAGATGAGCATTTCCATGCTGAAGTGACAGCTTTACTGCCTTAGCAATCACCTTGTTGTCAAGATAAACTAAGTATCTCCAACACCTTACAGGTGAAGCCTGGTTGATCTTATATATTAAAGTAAGTAAAGTAGCTGTATTTTGATCTTATATAGTATCTAGACTTGGAGAACTCTTGAATTCTAGAAATATACTGATTTTGTGAGTGATTATGAAATATAAGTGTAGGAAAATGAAATTTTTCAGTCTTCTGCAAAATGAACTTAAAAATATTTTTTCCATTGCTTCAAATGCATTTTTTTTAATTATTTTAAGGATAATAAGAGCAAATAGTGATGTAAAAAAAAAGTTAAATGCTTTGTTTTGAAAAGTGGAGTGAAGAGTTTATAGGTTTTTTGAGTGTTTCCAAGTTCATTGTTTCTCCTGGCAGAGTATGAACCTATTAAAATTTCTGTCTAGATCTGCAAGTCACATTCACTACAGCTCTCCAAAGATAATTTTTTTCTGGGGCTTTTCAGGGGAATAATAGAGAAAGTTGTTATAGTAGTGAAATGTCATTTCCCTGACACTATCCATCACTGTACATGTTCGTGCCCGCGCACACACACATACATGTACAAAGAACTTCTTCAGAATCAGGGTGTATAAATATTGTGCTGTCAACATGAGCTACCTTACCCTGGATGCTCTTATTTCTAATAGCCAAAAGAAATCAATGTTAGCAGCCAAGGAACATCTCTGCTATAAATTTGTCATGTGTATATTTTCTCTTTTATTGATTCAGTTCTGGAAAGTATCTGAGTAAAATTTAGTACCTGCTCTCTATCCTCCTCAATTAGTTCTCCTCCATTCTTGAAACTCCCTCTTTTCTTGCAACTCTTGGCTTTAAAAATAGCATAACCCTCCAGTTTCATCGCTTCAGTGCTGTCAACTGAGCTTTACAGCAGCTGAGGTTCTATGTCTACATTTCTGTTTCAGTCAGCTTGGTAAGGTGAATGTTAATGTCTACTAATAGGCCATTAATTATTTGGGTCATTAATTAGAAAAGGTTAACAGTACGTTTGAGTCTTAAGGGGACACACACTTTTGTTCCTCACCTCCGGATTAATCTGAAAGAGTGTGTACGGTGACAGTATATTTTGTGAGTTTTAAAATTAGTCCTAAAACCAAATTTTTTTTTTTTTTTAAAAGTCTTGTGGCAAAGAGGCCTTGATCACAGGTATTTTTGTTGCAAAAATGGCATGTTCTTGAAGCGAGATTCTGTAAAATGTCACTGAACATTTTATGGAAGAGAGGACGACAGGACAAAAGTCTGTCTACTAGGCTGTCAACTAAAAGCTGAAAGTGCTTGGCAGAATGACTTATGTTTCAATGATAAACAGTACTGAGGATTTGTAAACACCATTTAATAAATCCATATCTTTTTTTTATGATCTTGCCTGAACTTTTCACAACTATGCATGGTCTTTAACAGTATTTTTAGTATTTGAGTAGTAATAAAAATTGATTCTCTTGAAAATATTTCTCCATCAACTTCACTTTTTTCTTGTTTTGCCTCATACTTTTTTAGCATTATTAGCTGAATAGATCTAGCTAAGTTAATCTTACTTTTCTGGTTTTACATGGTAGGTATTTCAATAACAGATATGCTACCTTAGCAAAATTCAGTAGAGAACAATTAGCTTTTGCCAGGCATTTTCACCAATATTACCATGACTTTGGCAAGCTGCATGATTATAGATGTCTCCGACTGATCTTATTCTACTACAGTTTACCAAAAATTATTACAACAAACTTCTAAAATATTCTTAGCAATTATCATCAATATTATTAGTTGTGTCATGTGTGTATAATCAATATAATGTACTATATTGTATATAGTCAAAGAAATAAGCATTGTGCTCTATGTATTTGTTTAAATATGTGTTTGTTTTGCTTCTCTTATGTGAACAAAGGTAGAGAACTGTATGTTGTCTTTTAGTTTTAAAATAGGCCAGATCCGTGAGCCTGTACTGTTTATGCTTCAGGTTCAGTCCAGACGGGCTACAGCTGAACAGTGAACAGAAAAATTCTCATGAAAAGAGCTCTTTCCCTCCCCCTCTCATGTTCCCTTAGGATATCTATCAGCTCTGTGCAGCTGTCTGTGTGGGCTTCACTGCCTATATCACAAGAACAACTTTTATTAAATTCTACTTTAGCACTTCAGTTTCCAGACCCAGCATGAAAATGAAAGCAGGAGTAGAAATATTGCTTGGTCACACATTCCAAAAGCTTAGCTCGTATTTAGTTGAAAGTAAATCTTAGAAACCACCGGGGCTTTCAAAGGGAAAGGTGCTACCTTTCAAAAATACCTCTCCCATCAAATTCTGTTGCTTTGGGGAAAACCAGACTAAAATCAGGACTGGCTGCTGTTCCTCGTGTTCTGATCTCAGTCAACTTAAAAATGATTCTTAAGAGGAATTTTAGTCCGCCAGTATTATATACTTGCCATTTTGGTTAAACAGTTACTTTTCATGACCAATAGAAGTACATCTAATTAGTGGGATGGCTAGCAGATGGTGGTCCTCATAGAACATCCTGGTTCAGCCTGAATTTTGGCTCCATAAAAACAGATGTTTAGGTGAAACTCTAATTCTGAAAGTCACCAGTGTGTAATGAGGAAGGTGAAAATCTCTGTACCAGGTCCTGAATGTATCATAATGTCAGAAAGTATAGATGCTTTAGATGCTTTTACCTAGCCCTGAGGTGTGGTTGCTAAAATATTTCATGCTGGTGAAATCAAATTAATGGCCCAGTCACTTCATCAGTTGAATTTAGCAGCCGTGAAGTAGAAAATTAAAATAAGGTAAGTTTGAGCATCCTGATGAAGCCAGGTACTATTTGGGTCAAGTTCAAATTTCAACACCTTCACTGTTAATTTTTATTTCAGGTAATTCAGACTATCACTGCAACTGACAAAGATAACTCTGCAAATGGGGCAAGATTCCATTTTTCCCTTGATGAAGGGCTTTCTTTGAATCCCAACTTTACTCTAAGGGACAATGAAGGTAAATCAAATACATAAATCTCAAAGAAATGGGTCTCTGTTTTGTCTGGGATGTCTTATTGAACAGAACAGTTTCCATGAGTTTCTTGACAGAAGAGGAAAACTGTAATCTGTCATCACTGAACTGGCTGATATCAAGGACATGGTGTATACAACATATTGCAAACTATGAATAATTGGAAATTATGAATAATTGCATTATTTTAATATATATTGCATTTTATTTTAGCATTTATACTTCACACTTTCAGGAATGTTTTTAAAAAGTGGATTAGCGAGAAAGATGTTGGCAATTTGGTTTATTTCATGGTGAATAGCACTGAGTGGGTACTGTCAAGGTTATTGCTGGTTATTGCTTAAAGGAGAAAATAAGAATTTACAGGGCATAGAAAGCTGAATTAATGCTTACTTTTACAGCTGTGATACCATGAACAGGTCCTTCAGTGCTTCCTGGATGACTTCATGCCCTTCCTAACAAAGTGTGCCTAAAAAGTACAATCAGAAGTTCACAGCAAATAGGCCCAGAGGGAAAATGGCCTTCAGGGTCACTTTGCACAAGTGGTTATGAGCATGTCTTGAATCAAAGAATCATTTAGCCTTAAAAAACAAAAACAAACACACACACCCCCCCCCAAACGCCAAACAAACAAAAAAACAACCCAAACAAATCAGCCTTATTATTTATTGAGACTTACTTCGTGGTTTCCATTTTAAAACCTGATGAAAATGAAAGTAAACTTTAAATGCTTGTCTGTAGTCTTCCTCTTGAGCTTTAGTGTATGTGTGTATTGTGAAGGTTGGTTTGTATGCTGTGTGGAAGGATGGGGTGGTTGGCTTTATTTTACAGCTATATTTTTGCAGTATTGCCATGGAATACCTTCTGAGATCTTACAGATCACTACTCATCTGTAATGACTGAGAAGCATTAACTCCATCACTGCTACATACATTAATGTTTAAACTATTATTCATGATATTTTTTATCTGTTTCTTAAAACCTTTCAGGGAAGAATACCGCATAATCCTCCTAAAGAATCTGTTCCAATGTTTAACTATACACACAGCAGGAAAAAAATAATCAAGTCATGCTATTTATTTGATCTAGATTCATTGTCCTGAAATTCTGATTCCAAAAGAGATCAATCCAATATCTATCAATATTTAAACGCTAATAATACTTGATGGACTAACTCATATATTAAAAATATTCCTTAAATGATGACTCCAGCCCTTTCCCATATTAATATATCACTTCCACTCAGATAGTCATAGCAAATGCCAGAGGGACTGTTTCTGAAAGAAGTGTACTGTTGTGTATATTTGTATCTGAGTCCAAGATTCAGATAAACTCCTTGAATATTGGACTGTGTTCTCATTTGAAAGACCATGGCTGTGTTCATTTCCATACAAGATGCTTCTGTCTAGATGTGGTTTTGAATAACTGTTGAAATTGTGATTCATAATAAAGTAGATAATTTATGGTCTTGAACATATTTTACTTGGGATTTGTATTGTATGTTGTTTACTAACAGTGGAAAATGCTGTGTTATACTTTAAGGACTGCATATCAACACAAGTTGTTTACCAAAATAGGTGTATGAGAGGGTTAGAAATTTTCAGAAATCTCTAATGCATCAGTGTCATGCCTTGGGTATAAATATGCAGTAGTAAGTACTTGCTGTTTTCTTGTTACCTCCCAAAGAGCAGTGAGCAATGATTTTGCCACCAACAGCAGAAGGCAAGGTTTGGATTATCCTAAATTGGATTTGGCAGGGGAAAGCAGGGGAAAGAACTGGAAAAGTTTAAGCTAAAGGCCTTTTGTGCATTATGTTTTTATTTTATCTAAGGAGACACGAAAAGTAAGTATGCACTCCCTGTGCATCTCACAAAAAACTTCTACACATACAGAAACTCAAGAAATGCAGTTTGCCCACATAATTAACGCAATGACAGTTTAAATCAAATTATAGTAAGAAATTTATCTTAAAAACAAAAATATTTTCATTGTTTTGCTTTTCACATGACGATTTGATTGTATTGTTTAAACGATGCCCTTTACTGGGACCTTTGTGATACAATCTATATGTAAAGTATCAGTGAAGCACTTAGAAAGCACAGTAAGTATCCAGATATCTGGCATTTGCAAGTTTAATATTCATCATCTATTCTAATTCATAAACGTAATTTTTGTTGCTTTTTATTTTAGGAAATAGATGAGAGAAGGTGCACAGAATAGGCTTTTCTTATGTCTGTGGTAAGTTTGCAGTTTTGAAAACCCATGGTTTTGAGCATCAGCTGTTAAAAAGAATCAGATGCTCTTAACACAAGGTAGCTGCTATTTTTTCCCTATGGATGCAATAATTAAAAAAAAAAAACAAAAACAAAACAACTACCTTAAGAGAGTTTTCAATAATGTTTTGCAGAACAATAACAACAAAATCTCATATCACACTGAAAGTGGTATTCAGTGGTAGCTGTATCTGTCACTGCAAATCTATATTTGTCTTACAGTCATCTTTGGAGCCAGTCATCCTTTCCTTTTCTTTCTTCAGGACAAAGGTTTCATTTCAGAAAAATCTAAGTACGCATTTTCTTCCCTTGTTTTCATAACCTAGAACAAGAGAATTCTGCTTCTTGAGCCCAAATACACTATTGCATGAATGTTCCCCTATTCCATTTTCATCAGTAGAGCTACAAGACCTATAAGCTGCCACAGTAAACTGGGTCTTTAAATATTAATGCTTATATCTATGCACTTTGATGAAAATGTAGAGGACTTGCACAAGCATAAGATTTCATATCTTGTCTGTACCTACCTATATGGGCTGCAGCATTATACAGTCACAGCATGTATATGATTCAGGTCAATAATATTCTATGGCTTCCACAGAGGAAATAGATATTAAAGTGTCAGTGCAGATAGTTGATCATATGACCAGTTAAACTTTTATCTCTGAATAAGACGAAAGTACAAACCTGAGCTACTGTCTTTACTCATTAACAATCCAGAATATTAAAGCTCCAGCCTTTGAATATGCAACCTCATAGCAAAGAGCTTAAAACCCTCAGGAAAGTGGATATCAAGAGAGAGCCACAGGGCTATACAAAATATGCAGTCCAGCAGAATGTAAGAGTTCTTGGATCACCTTCTGGATTCTCTTGGTGTTTACAATTTTCATTTTAAAGAACTAAAAAAAAATGGAAGAGACAGAATATTATACTTTTTTCCCTACTGGCTGGATTCTTATGCTATAGTAGATTCTTTGTTGCTATTTGGGTTTTTTTTTTTACACTGACAAAGTGTAAAAAAGTAAAGTAAAAAAGTGTATTCAGGGAGAATAAAGGCTTCAGAGTATAAACAAGAGAACAGCCAACAAAATGGCGCAGTATCTGTACACATGTAAGCAAGCCAGAACACGAACTGCAATAGAATTTGTTTGCTATACAAAGAAAACAAATTAAGTTGTAATCATTTCCTGCAATTTTAGAGAGAAACCCAGGGAAGATGCCTTTTTATTTGCTTGGGAATTGTATTATGAAGGTTTTAAAATGAAAACAGGGCTGTTTACAATTTATTCTGTCCAGAAAAATGTTGCAATTTCTATTAAAACCTGAGCAGCCAAATATTGGAGGTGCTTTGATGTTGCAGTTCAGATACTACGTAACTCAGTTCATTGTTGTCTGTGTTATTCTCACTTTGTTTTTTCGGATTTTATCGCAGATAATTTTTTAATGCTTTTTTTCACTTGTGCATAATATCTCAAATTTACACTTTTTTGCCTAACCAGAAATATCTGCCTGGGCAATATAAGACTAAACCACCTTCTGTTGGTGTATCACAGGAAAGATGAAAGAACTTCTTCATACTAGATCTGGTTTTCAGTACTTAATTTTAAATTGTACTTTTTTCTTTTTTTTTTTTTTTTAATCCTGAAGCATAATATTTTTCTAGATGCTTAAGGAATGGTTGATATATTTGTCAAAATTCATCAGTTTGATAGAAAATGCATTGAGTATACTTCATTGTTATGATATCCCCAACTGTTAATACATAGACACACACATTAGCATAGTCTGTCTGTCTTGGTTTAAAAAATTAATTCTCTCTTCCTTCCTGCCTATTTTTTTACCTGTTAAAGACTTTCAGAAGTTGCATGACACTTTTCAAGGAGCTGGCAAAAGACTGAACCCTCAAAGAACAGTTCACTTAAGTGCAAAAGAACGTTTATGAATTTTATGCACTGTAAAGCATCGTTTTGCCAGTGGAATTTTTTATCACAAGATATACAGTGTAACATAGATGCTTCAATGGCTATTGTAAATATCCTGGAAGATAAAGGTTTGTGCAGGAGCTGCGTACATTCACCCAACACTGCCAGTATGATTTGTACATTGTAGTACTTCAATAAATTGAGACTGATGACTTATGAAAGTAGACAAAGTTTGCATTACCTTCAAGGAAGACCAGCTCCCAAGAGAATGCTTAGCATTTGTTCTCCTTTCCTTTTATTTCTTCAGGAAAAAAGTTTCATTTCACAAAAATATTTGCAGTTTTATTTTTCCCCTCTGCCCACTTTTCTCAAAGTGGCTTTTTGAAAATTGCCCAGTGATGGAGAACATTCTGGAGTCAGAACAAAGGTAGGCCATTTTTCTGATGTTATCCCTTTGGAGAATCCTTTTTGTTAATGTTATGCCAAAAGATACATTAATACCCACAGAAGGAGAGACCTGGTTTTCTATGAAATCTAGAGCATGATGAGTTCAATAGCATCTGCATAAAATGAAATTTGTGGCATGTTCATCCACCCATGCCTGTGATGCAAATTAACATTTTTCCTGTGTCACAGATGAAAAATGAGTAAAAACTAGATCAGTTTTACATGACATGTGGTTATTTAGGAAGAGAGCAAACTCCAGAGAGTAATTCATCCCATCCCAGCGTGAATTCCCTTGGTGAAATTTCTGTTTATCTCTTCCTTTATATGCACAAAAGTCTTATCT